ACACAACCTTCATCTGCTTTCACCAATTCTCATAGTTATCAGCTTTAAGAATTGGAAGACTTACTGGAAAATGCCTGTTTGGATGATTCATTTCCATCGTTCTTGCTTGCCTTGAATCGCTCAATAGGAGCTCTTGATACCAGATGTTGGAAATCCACCAAAACCTATGATAAATTTCTATCAATATTGATAAACAAGATTGTTATCACCACACAATAACAATGAAAAGAAAACAAAATTAAAGAAGAAAAATATATTTAGGATTTGTGCAAAGTTTCTCTCAGCCACAAGTTGTGGAAAATATTCTTATCCACTTGTAACTGCAAATTATATGAATATTGAATGTGTTATAAAAATAGGCGTTACTCCCTCTATTTATAATGAGCTAGCTTGCTCCCTAAGATAAAATGCCCATAATAAAAAAGCCCAAAATAAAAACTTAACCTAATTCCGTTATACTTACTAAAATAGGTCTAGTCGAAATTCTGTCTAGAAAACTGCTTAGACATTTCGACAAAACACAACTCGACACACCGTTGTAACTAGTTTTGAAAATAAGAGTCAACACCCTTAATTTTTATCCTAAGGAAGGAAATATAAAGGTTAACTCTAAAAAGTTAGAGATTCTAGGTTGTTGGACTCGTTCTTAGATGAAGGGAAGGTGTTAGGCCCTCCTCATCTACCTTGTTCACAAGGATACAAGGATTTAGAATTAATCTTTAGGAAAAAGGGTTTTAATTTTTTATTAGGGAAACTCGCCACGATTTTAGTCGTATGCCTACGTATCCTCTTATGAGGAATTAAAGTCCCAATTTATAGTTCATAATTTCTTAGTATTTTTTATGGCTTATAAAGATATTTGAATCCCCCTTGTACTTAGTCTGGGTGTGTGAATATCAGAGTAGTTTAGCGAAGTGCGCAGTCAATTAAAACATATTTGTAATCTTTTTTGAAAATTTGATTGTTGAATTTAGTTTATTATGGAGAAAAAAGATTATTGTTGGTTGAATATTTTTTAGTGTATTAATTGTAAAAAATGTCTTATTAAATGCATGATTAAAAATAATTTAATGCAATAAAATAAATAATATTTTGGATGAATTTAGAAAATAATATTTGATTTTATAATAATAAATAAATATTATAAATTATAAATATATTAAAATATAAAAATTAAAAATTAAAAATAATATGAATTATAAAATAAAAAGAATTTAAAAAAACGCAGGGGGTGCAACTAAAGTTGGGCTAGTAAAATAGGGGATATAAGTAGTAGGGCCCTGAATTCAGATATTGAATTTAGGCCCAACGCATGGGGGTGTAGGTTTGAACTGTCTAGTAAAAGCTGGGGGTGTGAGGTAACAAGGGTCCAAGTTCAGATATTGGACTTGGCCCATTAGGGTTGGGGGTGAGGTTTTGTGTTGCGCAGTAAAACAATAACAGGAGGGAGGTGTGAATGGTAGTTGGGCTTGGCCTAAAAGGTGTGAGATATGTTTGAACAGTGTGCGAACGGGAGTACCGTAAGGCTGTGGGTGTGTGTTTTTTGGAACGCTGGATTGAGATCATGTGGACGTGATGGAGGGAATACAATATTTTGTTGTGGGCGACACACATCAGATTACTGAACCTAATATATTCGTTTTACTAGACAATTTTATTTCATTTTCTTGTTATCTCCTTTCCCTTCTCCGTTTCTATGCTTTCTCCCTACCCCTAAACACTATAACAAAAAGAAACCCCAATTTAAATCCCTAAGCAGCGACGGCGCTTGGTCCCCTCTCTCCCTCTCCGATACCAATACAAAACACCCAAACCCTAAAAACGATTTCGAAACCCATCAACAGTTACAAAGATCCAAAAGAAAGCTAAGTGTTTACATCGGATCCTTTGAGTTTGTTTTGAACTTCGCGTTTGCTCCCGATCTGAGCTTCTTTTGATCTTCTTTTGTTTTTGACAGATACAGCGGCAGTCGTTTGATGGAGGCGGCGACGCTTCAAGGAGTGCTAGGATTTTAGATGTTGAAACCCTAAGCTAGAGCGACAGATTTGCAACGGTGAGATGAAGGCTCTCTTTGTTCTTCAACTTCTTCCGATTCTCTTTCCTTTGTAAAATTCCCTTTCAATTTCTTCCTCCCCCTTTCTGTTTTAGAAGTTAGGATTTTATAGTGTTTTGATTTAGGTATATTAGGAAATAATTTATGAATTGTCGTTACTTAGAGTGAATTAGGGATTAGCTTTATTTATTTGTAATTTGTTACATATCTTGTATAAATTTTGATTCGATTCTATTTTAGTCTGATTTAGTTTCTATTTTAGTATGATTTAGTTTCTATATTTGGTTCTGGATTTGATTTATGTTCTGTAAAGATTTTTGAACAATTAAATGTATGAAGATTTAGTTTGATTTTGGACTTTGATCTGAATATTGTTTGTTTTCACATTAAAACAAATGTTTCTTTTCCTCCAATCTGCACATTAGGTGTTCTCTTGAGTCAAGCGTTTTCTTTTTTGATTTGGGCCTGTTTGTTTTGGGTTTGGAAATGGACCGTGTGATAAAGAGGCTTTTTCGTTAATATTTTTCCTTTAATTAAAAAAAACAAAATTCATTTTTAATTAAGTCATAATGGTGACGTTTAATAATAATACTATAATGATTATGTAGCAAATACAATTTTTTCAAAACAAACCTAAAAAAACCCGAACGAGCCTAACAACTTAATTGCTTATGGGTCTTAACAGAATGAATTGTTTTATACACCCCTCAACCTAAATGGGCCTTTATGTTTTTTTAGAAAAGGCCCAAGTGTTCTCCATAAAGTAAACTCCCTTCCTACATTTGAAATGGGCTTAGCAAATACCTTTCTTTCAAAGAAACCGAATGAGTCCTTACTTTTATACGAACCTTTAGAATGAATTGATATAGGCCTCTTAAAACATACCCTTTTTTTTTATTTAAAAACGAGCTTCATCATTTTTAGTGGGCCTACCCAATTAATCCATAAACTCCTTAAGTAAACAACATACCTCTAAATGGGCCGACGACTAATACACCCCCTTGTAAGAGAAACTGAATGGGTTTTCAATTCCATATGAACCTTTCTAATCAGAAAGGTCCAAGAACTCTTAATAATATAAACTCTTCAAGACTTGAAATTTTACATGGACTTTTCTGATCTAGAAAAGCCCATTAATTCTCTAATAAGAAAAAAAAATACCCTTCCCTAATTCAAACCCCGTGAATTTGATAACAATGTAAAGCAAATGATAGCTCTAGAGTTTGATAAGGGATAAAAATGACTGGGAATCTATAGGAAAAATTTAAGATATGATACACACTAAACTTCGACACAACCTTGTGTTGAACATTATACTACTTTCGACACAACGAATTACATATTAATCGAAAGTGGTTAATTTGGATTGAATATGAAGGTTTGACTACACTTCAACTTTTATCTTATTTTATTATATATTAATAGCATTAGGAATATTTTGGTATAGATAAACGTTCAATGTTGAAATTAAACACTTCAAATTACCAAATTTTTATTGTATAACAATCTTACTCTTTGATTCTACTAACACTAATAGAGTAACACAAAGAATGTTAGAAAATTGAGGAAAAATGTTTTATTTTAGTTATATTTCATACGGATTACATTGATAATAATTAATAGCCCCCAAGTTACAACTTAGAATCTCTTAATTATAATAACTAATGGAAGGGTGCACTATATGATATAGAGATATCGTTTAATATATAAAAATATTAAGTTTTTCTAGTTTTAACATCATACAAAACATCTGATGGTGAAGTAACTCACACAAGAATGAATAGGTTTGCAAGAATTCTTTTATTGGAGATGAAATTCATGTTACACACTAGACGTTTGGTGGGTCGAACATTACTCTTGATACTAAATGTTAGAACTTGAAATCACATGGTTGGTGAAAATGAAATGAGAGAGAGAGAATGTACATTAACATTTTTTGAGATATTCCTTAGATATTTATACAAATTATAATAGATTAGGACACAAATAACAAACTCAATAACAAAAAACTAAAAGTTGTGTGGCTGTAACGGATTACACATATTCTAACAGTTATAAATATTATATCTTGTAATCTGTCGCATGAATTCATTAATCAATTATTGCACTTGAATTATTGATGTTTTCGGAACACTCCCTTCCTTTCCACACTCTAATTCTTGTAAACCGTAGGGTTTTAAAAAACGGCCAACGACCGCGTAAATGACCACGACAAAACAATTTTGGAAGAAGTCGATACTATTATCATCGTTTTTTATATTGAAGAATAAATTATAGTTAATTCACGTTGCGACGACTGCAATACACATGCACGACCGAAATTGCAAGCATGTTTACGTGTCCGTGACGCAACCGCAACCATTTTTTAAAACTTTGGTCAAGTGTATTTGATGAAGTTGAGAGGTTGTTTTTCAATAATAACCGTTCAATAGAGAGAATGCCTGAGCGTGTGTCGCGGAAGCACTTAGAACTCTGGAAGCGGGGTGATGCATGGTTTCGTTGTGCTTGTCGTACAACAACATGAAGCCGCGGACGACGCTGATAAACTTGCCGTGCAGGCGAACCATTGTCTGTAACAATGACGAAAGTGGGTTTTTTTTTGGATTGAATATGGAGGTTTAAGTACACTTCAACTTTTAACTTATTTTATAATTAATAGCGTTAGGAATATTTGGGTGTAGAGAAACATTCAGGGATGAAATTAAACACTTCAATTACCGAATTTTCAATGGGTAACTGATCTTGCTTTTTCTTTCTACTAGTACTGATAGAATAACACTGACAAGCATAAAACATTGAAGACAAGTGTTCTATATCATACTGATTACATTAATAATAATTAATAGCTCACCAAGTTACAACACATATAACAATACATAGTAACAACTTGTCCCATTCAATCTGCTTCTTCTATTTTGATTTTGGTCTCCACCAAATTTTTGTTCCATTAGTTGGAAGATCTTACAGCCACAAACTCATGAAGTTTGTCTAAGATCGTAGAAAGGAACCGGAAATAAGTGTGCCTCCAAGTCCTGTTGAAGAATACAGGACCACAAATACTCCAGAAACCCACTGCAAATCCAACACCCATCCCAAAGTAGAGTGACTGTCTAAAAGAATCCTCCTTGTCAGTATCATTGTGTCCTTCATCTGGGTTTGGCTCATGATAACATACTGCTAGAGGAGCTCCACACAGTCCAGGATTCCCAGCATAGCAAGAAATATCAAAACTCTGAAGCTGAGTGCCGACTGGGATTTGTCCAACAAGGTTATTGTTTGACAAATTCAAGAAGCTTAAGAATGACAAAACTGAAATGGTATCAGGAATTTCTCCAACAAGTTTATTCTGAGATAGATCAAGAGATTCCAAGTTTTTCATGTTTCCAATCTCTTTTGCTATATTTCCTGTGAAATGATTTCGAGACAAGTTCAATGTCTGGAGTTGAACTAGACTGAAAATTTGTGTGGGGATTTCACCTGATAAGCTGTTAGCTGAAAAGTCAAGAGTTCTCAATAATCCATAGTCATGATACTCTAACTCTTGCCCTTTAAAATACAAATTGAACTCAAATGGATAATGAGTCGTTTTCTCTGCTCCATCCATGCTGCGGAATTTATTTATGCAGGTAGGAATTGGTCCTGAAAGTTTGTTGTGGGAAAGATCCAATTGTATGAGTGAAGAGAGATTGCACAACTGTGGTGGAATGTTACCTTCAAACTTGTTGGATCTTAATATCATCAGCTCCATACCATGAGGCATTTTCACTGGTACAGCTCCCGAGAAATTGTTTTCTCCAATATGAATGAATTCCATATTTGTTAAGTTTGACAGGTCCAATGAAAAATCACCAGACAGGCTGTTGTTATGCAAATCCAGTATTAGGAGGTCGATCAATGATTCCATGGATGGAGGAAGTTCACCAGTCAGCATATTACTCTCCATGAGAAGGAAAGATAAGCCTTTCCAATTCTCCCAACAATCAGGAATTTCTCCAGTTAAAAGATTATATGAAATACTCAAATAATCCAAACTGTTTTCCCTACCTATTTTGTGGCAGATCAGAGGAGAAATGGATCCTGCAAAAGAATTTGCATGCAAATCCAAAAAGACGACATTTTCTGATATACGTGGGAGCCCTCCTCCTAAGTTATTATCGTTCATAAATATGATTTCTGAGTTTAGCGTGACATTTGATAAGTCTGCACTGATGTTGTTGTGGGACATGTTGATTTCTGTAATATTAGCCACAAATCTCCAAAATGTGTCTCCATCAACGGATGAAACTCTAGAGTTAGGAAACTCAAGATATTCTAATGACCTCTGTGTATGTATCCATGCTGGAAACTTAGGACCTAGAATTGTATGACTTAAAATTAACCCATTCAATTGAAATGGAGGAATCCATTTAGAATCCAGATCAAATGAAAATGTTGCATCCAAGAATAGAGTTTCTAAATTAGAGAGTTTGGAGAAATGTTTTTCAGATAGAACACCTGACAAAGAATTTCCTCCAATGAACAAACTCTTCAAATTAAAGAGTTTTCCAATACTTGTTGGAATATTACCAGTCAGAAATTCGGAGCTAATACCTAAGTCGACCAAGGATGAGAGATTTCCAAGAGATGAAGGGATAGAACCGTGGAACAAGTTATCGACTAGACTGAGATATTTTAAATTTTGATGTTGTCCTAACCAACCCGGAATCGATCCATTTAGTTCATTGTAACTCAACCTTAAAGATTCAAGTTTGCTATAACTTAACAAACTCTTGGGTATTTGGCCTTGTAAAAAATTTAAGCTAAGGTCAATATGCATGATATTCATATCTCCACCGCGATCAAACAGCCAAGCAGGTAATTCGGAATCAAAATAGTTTGCAGAGAGATCAAGGGTTACAAGGGATTTAGTAAAACTCACATGCTTAGTGGATGGAAAGATATTGGTCAAATGGCAACTTGACAATCTCAGCTCTAACAGTGATGGAGGCAGCAACATATCAATGGAATAAAGCCAGTTTGTTTGATTTTGAAGGTTAATTTGACTGAGGTTGAGAGATTTCAATGAAGAAAAATTGGAAAGCCAATGAAGACTATCCAAGTGAAGATCACGATTAAAAGACAAGTCTAGGTAGTGAATATTATTAGACAAGTTATTATTACTATAACCATGCAAATGATTTAGAGCTGTAAAGCCATTAAAGCTCAAGTCCAAGTAAGTCAAAAATTGAATTTGAAACAAAGAGTACAAGTTGATTTCACCTTCCAAGTATTGTTGGTGAAGATCAAGTGCTGTAACTCTTCTCGTAGTGTTGTCACATTGGACTCCTTTCCATGAACAACAGTCTTTTTCATTGATGGACCAAGAGGAAAGCGTATTGGAGGAAGGAGTGTCCACACCAAGTTTGAAGTTGAGCAACGCGGATCGATCCTTCTCATTACAATTACCAGGCTGTGCACTATTGCATGTTTGAAATATTGTTGTAGATAGCAGAAATAATAGCAGTAGGCATAGAATGGGAATTTGTGAAGTGGAGCTTAGCATTGTTGATTAATATTAGTTTGGAGTGTTAAGAAGCGATATGTTGAAGAACTATTTAAACAATGAATATGGAGGATAAATGTGAAAGCTCAAACACAATTAGTGTCGAATCTACTACTTATTCAGAACGAGTCATTCACATTGACAAGGTTTCAGTTTTTAACTCTTGCGTGTTCGAAAAACGCGTGTAGTCGCTGATATAGTTCATTCCCTCTTTGGCTTTTAGTAGGAAGCACACAGCTGCTGGTTCTGTCTCTTTTGGCTTTGGCCTTTAGTGGGTTAGGGTTGTTTAATCACATCTCTATCTCAATGTGGATACTTGACTATACTTTGAAAAGTTTGTGTTTGCTCATTTTATAGCTTGAACTTTACTTTAGTTTGAAACAATTTTTAAAAAAATAAATTCCCTCTAAATTAATTTTTGTTGTTGTAGAATTAAATACAAATTAATTTTAAAGAAAAATAACTATTTTTTCAATATAAGAGGTAAATCTAAAATATCTTTTTACAACTCTTAAACTTGGTTGTTGACACCAGATCATTTACCAATTATCTTAAGTTTGTTGGACCAAGAGAATAAAGACTTTGGACAACTATTTTTACTCGGACAACAGTTTTTATTTTATTTTATGAGAAATGTTATTTTTACACTAAATATAACATCTACACTGTAACATTATACAATTTTATTTTTTTAAATGTTTAATCATTATCTTTTCCTTGTTATGACACAAACAAACACATTCGGTTATGTTGTATTTCATAAGGTGTATACATATGGTGTTGGATTTTTGGTGTAAACATGGCAACTCTCTTTTTCTTTAATAAAATTGCTTTTAAAAATATGTCTTAGAAGAAATTACTGGATCAGGTCACAGACTAAATCGTCTTCTTTAAAATGTTCGGCGATATTTTCAAAATTAAGCAAGGAAGACGATCAACTATTTCCCCAAAATAAAACAGTTAAGTTCAAATTGTTACAATGAGTACTGTCAGTAGATAACCAATCCAGAACTACAACCTCTATTGTACGAAGAATACTCAAATTTGGTATGAATATCACTCGTATATGACACACAGCGGATACTAGTCTAAAATCAAAGAGAAGAGAGAAAGGGGATAAGTTCTTCCCACATTCAAACAAATCAATTCCAAAAAATGAAATCGCATGAGGAGACCATTGGAGGCTTGGTCATTCGCATAGAAAACATATATAAAATGAATGAAATGCCTGAGAACCACTATGTCAAAACTGCTTTAAGACAACACACCTTAGATAGTGCTTCTGTACCAAAGCGTTGCTATATATCCAGATAAAATTTTAAATTTTAAAACTATATACATTAGACAACGCTTTACAGAAAAGTGCTGCGTAAAGTTGAGAAAAAGCCTTGCCTTAAGTTCATTAAAGAAAGCTCTTTAATAAAGGGCTTCTATATGTCCCGATACAATTTTAAAATTTAAAACTATATACATTAGACAACGCTTTACAGAAAAAGCGATGCGTAAATTCCAGCATAAGAAAGCGCTGCCATAGGCCCAAAGCACGACTAAAGCCACACTTTAGACAGCGCTTTCTAAAAGCGCTGCCTAAGGTTAATTAAAATTGAAATAAAAAATAAATTCTAGAAAGCGCTGCTAAATTTAAAGCGTTGCCTTAGGCCCAACATTATAAAGCGCTGCCATAGGTCCAAAGCGCTGCTAAAGTCACACTTTAGGCAGCGCTTTCTAAAAAAAGCTTAATTAAAATTGAAATAAAATATTACCGTCTAGATTTTGAGTCGTTACTTTCTATTCTCCACTGTTCTTCTTCTTTCCAAATCCCATACGAACTTCAGCCGTTCTTGTTCTAATTGAAACCCTAAATTTCTTCACCCATCATCACTGAGTTCTCCTCATCTTCACTCTGTCTCTTCATCCATCATCACTGTTTCTTCACTCTGTCTCTTCTCATTGAAATACTCGTCGGCCACTCCCCAACCGAACTCCCTTGTCCGCGACGAAACTAAACACCTCCCCGCTTAGCTTTCAACACCATCACCTCCTATAACTTTTTGGTAAGCTAGCTATATTTTCCTTTTTAATTGATTTAACTTAACATATGATAGAGTTAAGCTTAATTTGTGGAGTAATTAGTTTTTAAGAAAAACTTGAAGTGTAGTGAAAGCTATCCGGACACACTCATCTAAAAACGATCCTCTATTAAAAAGATCGGATATGTGAAAAACCGAATGGAATGAATCAATGAGAATTATTAACACTTAACTCAATTATAATTGATCACTTATACTCTTTAATTATTGTCAATTACTTCCAATGAAATGTTGAGAAGAAAATACACAAATTTTCACTTTTGGAGTTTTATCGAACATTTGGTGTGCTTAATTACACCAAATCCAATCTACCTTAATTTGTAGCGTTGAAATTAATTATAGCGATCAAAGTGATTACTATAGTTTTTAGTAACAGTTCTATTGCACTACAAATCAGGACAGTTGGAACCACAAGAGAAAAATTTCAGATTATTGCAAATAAACGGTAAACAGCGAGAAAGAAAAACGACAGGCGATTTGTTAAGGAAGTTCCCCCCGTCGTCCTCGCATGGGATACGTCTGTCCTTAATTCTAGAATTTAGAATTAGGATAGTTTCTATTATGATTGCAAAGTTTATACAAGAGATAGAAAATAGTCACCACAACTCAAACCCAATATGTTGAATTGAAAACTAATCTCCTCTCTTCCTTTAATTCGATTTGAATCAATTATGTCACCAATCTTCGATAAACCTTCAGTTGTAGCTACCTTGTTGAGAACCCAAATCGTTTCTCAAACCCTCTGATCGGATGATTTGATCGCAAGATGATGACCCCAATTCTTCCTTCAAAATCCTCCGATTGTAGCTACCTTGTTGAGCGAACCCACAGTTCATCAATCCCTTAAGCACGGATGAATTTGATGAAGCAAAGAATTGTAAAAAACCCCCAAATCCCAATGATCTTGGAGGACAAAACCCTCATATTTTATTCAAGAAAAACCCACAATTACTCAACCCAAACAAGATCGTAATCTTCTACTTCGGACGTTGCCAACATACATTCCGCACCTTGATCGACAAAAAATATTATGTGTAGTTGTCAATAGATGAGTGAGAGGTTGAAGATGATGAGTACCTTGTGTATATATTTCATTTTTCTTGTTAAAACCAAATGAAGTAACCAAACAAGTATATGTATGTTATCTAAGGTCAAGACCCAAACTAACAGACTTAAAAACAGTTTTTTACGAGCGAACGGTCAACCTATGTAAGAGGGGACTCGACCTGAGCATTCCCGTAAGTGCCATATGATAGTGTATACAAGTCATGCGCCGACCTATGAAAAAGAGGTGACTCGACCTGAGCATTCCTGAAGGTGCCATATGACAGTGTTCACGATTCATGCGTCGACCTATGCAGAAGTATGACTCGACCTGAGCATTCCCGAAGATGCCACATGAGAGAGTGCAAGATCCATGCGTTGACCGCTCCAGAGGTATGCATCGACGCATAGTGATTAAACATTTCTTCCAGGAAGATTCGACCATATAGTCGACGTGAGAAAATCTGAGACTTTTCAAAGGAGCAACTTTTAATCATGCGTCGACTTGAGCTTTCTGTGAGTCGACTCACGACATATATATTTCCAAAAATTACAATTCTTGAAGACTTTTCTTGCTGCTTTGTCCACCATATCATCTAGAAACATTTCCAACATATAGTGGAAAGTTTTGACATCATTGAAACCCTTATTGAAGGAACTTTGCCCTCACATACTCCCCCTTTTTTATGATGGCAAAACTTGTCCTTAGCACCACTTATCGGAATGTTAATCTTGGAGATTTCTCCCCCTATCTTTGTGCACCCTTTCATTTCATATTGGCTTTCATATCATCTGTTCTTGACTTCCACATGCTTCTCCACCTTTGACAACATCAAAAAGATTCAAAGCAACAAGTTAAAATAACAACAATCAATATAAGTAAGGTTAGATTATTATCTACTTTGGCAATCAATAACTCTAACAAACAATCACATAAAGAGATGTTAGAGAAAGGCATAGAAAATAAATAGACACCTATCATGTAGTATAGTTACAAATTGATGTTCAAAGGAGGACAAACACAAAGTAAGTCATCATCCAAAAATGTTTAAACAATAAATACTAGCTAAAGTTCATGAATTTTGCAGAGTATAAAAAAAAATCAATTTTGCACATATTCATGAATTTTAAGACACACTGAAACATAAATAACCACCTAATCATATATCACACGTCACAAAGATTGAAAAGCACTTATCACAAGGAGTTAATAATTTTCAAGTTTACCGAATTGAGTTATCAAGAATAGATTTAGAGTTAGAATGATATTTCCTATATGATGCAGAATGATAATTTGCCCTCACAAGTAACTTGATACAACAATGTAGATAATTCGTGAGAGTACAAGTATAAATAAAAGTAATGCAACTAATATAGTTGCAACCTATCCGAAATATCGAGAACACCAGGTTCCCTACGGATGTGGAAGAAAGGCTCAGTTGCAAGAGGTTTTATGAAAATATCTGCAAGTTGATTTGTGCTATCAACATGCTCAAATACGATGTCGCCTTTTTCTACATGATCCCTAAGGAAGTGATTCCTAATATCAATATGTTGGTGCGTGAATGTAAAACCGGGTTTTTGGTTAGGTTTATGGCACTAGTGTTGTCACAAAATATCGGAATATGATCAAGTTTGTCATCAAAATCAAGTAATTGTTGTTTTAGCCACAAAATATGGGCACAACAATTACCGGCTGCGACATATTTCGCCTCGGCAGTTAACAAAGAAATGAAAACTTGTTTCTTGCTATGCCAACTTACTAAAGAATTTGAAAATAAATGACACGTACCACTAGTACTTTTCCTATCCAACTTGTAACCAGCAAATTTGAAATCGGAATAACCAACAAAGAGCAATCAAAAC